GCTTGACACGCTAACCACTCGGCTACACTGCCACGAGAGCCTTTTGGGTCACAAGGCAAATGTGAATTTTTAAGGAAGGCCGGGCCTTTTTGTGGGAAAATTCTACTTCTATCAGTCTTTCATCACCTTAAACGAAATTGGGTGAATACATCTTATCTCAACTCTTCTCATCAGCACCCCAAGCAAGATTCGAACCCGTGTCTTGTCAATTTCAAGATGATTCAATTAAACCTTTTCTCATTCTTCATCTACTCCAACCAAGATTGACTACAGCTCTTATCCAAGAGCCTTCCATACAACATATAACATCCTAGAGCTCAGCAGTCATATGAAGCTCATAATGAGCTGCAGACGTAATCAAGAAGTGCGGTACCGATAGGCAAAAGACGGAGTCAGGCGGCCAGAGTGTTTATCGCCATGGTACATTTTCCCTTTTGCCCAATTCTGATTCGTTGCTAAGGGAGGCTGAATGGGCTGACCAATCCAAATGGCCCTTTGCTTCTATGCAGAATTAGCCATCCCACGACAGGGGATAGCACCTTTCTGTCAAACACACCTCACGTCTGCCCATACTGAGGCCAGCTATCGCCTCGGCCGCAGGTTGCTTCACCTCTGGCGGGATTACAGTTTGCCCAAAATCACACTTTGTGTTGACTCTGTGCAAGACATCGCAACAAGGTGTGGCTTGCCAATCGATGCTGGGAAGTAGGCGATCTGTCGACTTGATCCGAGATCATCTACCGGAAAATGGTCGACATGTTGTGAAAGACTATTGCCTCTGTGCCTCCTCCTCCTCCTCCTCGTCGGAAGACTCGACCTCAGGTCGGCCGTGAATTTGCGCCCCCTCGACCGACGCTATGCATGCGCAGGCCAAGAATGGCTGACTCGACCGACCCAAATGTGGCGACCTTCAACAACACCTACTGGGAGATTTTGTACAATCTGGTGGCAGACTACTACCTCTGCTGGTACCTGCCGCTCAACATCGGAGTCGGCCTGCTGGGCAACCTGTTCTGCTTGATCTTCCTTTCGCGATCGAAGATGTTCCCGAAAAAGGTGCGCATTTGGATGCTGTGCATCTGCACCGGAGACTCGTTGATCCTGTTGACGGATGCGCTGCGCATGTACATCAAGATCGCCACCAAATGGGACATGCGCGATGTGAACACACCGATTTGTCGGTTGCACAACTTCCTCTCCAACTATGCCTTCTACTGGTCGGCGTTCATGCAGACCGGTCTGAGTTTGCAGCGGCTCTATTTCGTCATCTCGCCGCTGTCGGCTCGCATTCATCTGCCCTTGAGCAAAGTGGTCGCCATCTGGTTTCTGCTCACTTTCCTGCCCATCTTTCCCAATCTCATCTTCCTGCTCTTCTGGCACATCGGACAAGACTGTGAGCCCTACGACGCCAGCTACTACAAAGTGACGTCGATCTGTGATCTGGTCATTCAGGGCATCCTACCCTTGGCCGCCATGGTCCTCTCCACCGTCATGATCGCCGCGCGCATGCATCAAGAATGCGAAACGGCCACCCAACGACTCAACGCGGCCGGCGCCAAAAAGGTGGCCCCACTCGAGCCGGTACCGCCGATCGACGCCAGAAGCTCATCTGCCGGCGGCATGAATGGCGCCCAGTTCGGCAGTAGCCTGCGCTCCAGGACCAGCCTCATCAACAACAGCCTCAGCATCAAAGAGCCGTCAGAGTATTCCGTTGCCACCGGCCAACGGTCGTACGTGTCGGTGGACGTTGGCGCCGGCAGTCATCTTCCCGAACAGACGCAGGTGGGCGCTAAAGCGGCGTCTCGACGCGACAACCAGTCGCTGCGAATCACACGACTTCTCATCACACTCAATGTCTTCTATTTGATCACGACATTTCCACTTTTTGTCTATCTCGCCTATCTCAACATGTGGCATCGTGTGGGCGCCACCATTCCTCAGCCTCTGCACAGGACCATCTACTACGTGTTACGGTCCATCTGCTTTCTGAACAGTTCCTGCAATTGGATATTCTATTGCATCGGAGGCCAGGTCTTCCGGAAGCACACGAGAAAGTTGGTGTGTCGCTTCGTCTTCCGAATACAGGTCACCTGTCACCAGGTCTGTCGACACTGTTGCCTGGGCGACACGTCGTTGGCCGGTGCTGACGGCGTGACGCCGATCAGTTTTTCGCCTCTTCCAGACGTCTCCAGCGAAGCGGAACGAGATCGTCTCTCGGACGAGAGCCGCAAGCCGACAAAGGCCGGTAGAGTTGCAGCAGAACCGCGACACAACTTGCTCATCGACAGACGTGTTGCTGAGGCGGAAGATGCCAACTTGGCAACCAGTCGAGAAGAAGAGAGGTCAGAAGATGCGGTGAATGAGACTGAGGCGAGAGGTGTGAAGCTGCTGAAGAGACAAACATTTTCCTCTTTCAAAGATCCTAAAGTCACCAAGCGACTGTCAACACTCTCTTGGAGGGAGACAAATAGCATGAATCGACTGACTGACCAGCATGCAAATGAACAAACCATTCAGAGGCAGGAAGGTCGTCGACGTGAAGTAGGTCGCCCAAAGGTAACCTGTGATTATGAACCTGGTGTCCGAGGCGATCTGCCTGGCTCTGTGTCAGCCGTGGAGACACGTTTGTCACAATTTCTGTTCAGAATTTCCGTACTCGAGCATGACTAACGCGATGAATGCCGCGACAATTGACAATAGCGCCATAATAATTAGCCAATTTGCCGAGTGGGTGTAGACGCAAACTTGGCGAAGAGGTGAAAATTGCAAGTTGCCCCGAAAACTGCAAACACAATGTTGAACATTAACTATTAAGTGACTTTTGTATCCATGCCTAAGGTCGGATTTTGTTGGCCCTCGAGGTCCGGCAATCGTCAAATGTGTATAGAGATTTAAATGTATTTATTTATATTGAGAAACAATAAAGAACTCCTGTGAATCTCCGAATGGGATGCCCGAAAAATAGGCTAATCAGAGTTGGGAGATTGTGCTGACCCCACGAATCAATTCAATTAATCTTTTAATAAATAATTGTTTTTTATCACTTTCCGACTGCAATTTGCTCTACCCATTTACATTTAGTGACGGCTTGAGCAATTTTTCGTCACAAGATGGGACAAATGAGGTGCACACTTTTGTGTGTAATACCAAGCACGGGTCAAGGTTTTATTCGATGCTGTATCCTCCACTATTGTGGACAAGAACCATAACATATACCGGCATATGGGACACAGGCTGACTCACATACCAAAATTATCTTTACCAATTGACGCTTTTCATGATACAGTCGAGAATTTAGCACTTGAACTTATGCTGATATAATAGGGCTTAATTATTCTACTCCTTCGGATAAACCAAGTGCGCATAATTCATGCACAATCGAGCAAAATGTAGAAAAGACTCTAACTATCTGGTGCTGTCAAAGCTGACAAGCTTGCCTAGAAAAATTAATCCGATTGAAATTCGTACTTTGACACAAAAATCACTTTACATGCTGCCGAAAAACTGCCTTCTGTTAGGCCGTGGATAAAGAAAATAATACAATAAAATGTCTGTTCTCTGATTCATATGTAAACTTACTTGCCGACATTCGAAATATCACGTAGTCTCAACGGAGAATCGCAACAAATTTCGAAACTGATGAATAATTAGCATAATTATTTCGACTAGTTTATAGTTAAAAGTAAGATAGGCAGAATAGTAGCTCAATTTAATAATATTTTCTTAAAGGTAATTCGTTGCTTATTCCACCATAGCTCTTCATACCGATCATGCTAAAGCATCTTTCGATTGACCTTATGCGAGACTAAACCTACAACATAAATAGCAATTCCATCGACAATTTTGTATCACAGCTTTCTGGCATTATTGCATGCGAGTTTTAAGGTTTAGTGGCGACCAAAGTTATTATACTTTCCTAGAGATGCGAATTTAATCATGTCTTTATTATTAAGTTTATTGATTTTATTAGTAAAACTCATCAGATTAAGGCAAAGTTTCATGTATTTAATCGAGTATGCGAACAAGGCTGCTATGGTTGTTCATAATAGCAACCAACATGTGATATCATCAAATCTTCGGAATTATGTCAATTCTTGAGTGTAAATGGATAGTAAAAGTTTCAGCCTCTATTAAACATGTAATGCTGGTTATTTTGCCCTCAAATTCTTTTCCGCGCCTAGTACAGTGATCGTGACCATTTGCTAGGTTTAAAGGAAATATTTGGACTAAACGATAAGACTGGCCTCTCATTTACCTTTTACACTTAGACTATCCCTACTTCTAAACATATTTGCGTGTAAATGATGATAATCGTTATGATGTATTTCATTTCACCTCTCGATACTTTTTCGGATATGAGCAACCACAAAGTGTAATTATTGAGCATTTTTCGAGGCATCAATTTACTACAAAATTCTTTCAAAGACTTACCAGCCATTAGATGACTTGATTTAGATTCAATTAAGTGGCTTCAGAAAGACATGCAGTCGGAGTTTAATATGGAAAATATATTTGTGTGCTAATAGCTGATTTCTGAAGAGCCCGCTTCCGTTCGTGAATTCGCCATTGTTTCTATTAACTCGAAGAGGACCGATGGAATTTAAAAAAACTCTACAGATTTTTGCTCTTTTTATGGTATAAGCATGTGCTTCCCTGATTCAGCAACCGATAAATCAAAGCGAAAAGCGTGGCCATCTTTATGATGAAAAAAC